CACCTCGGCGTGAAAATGGCAGCGTTAGTCAATTGGGGTGGTACTCGTTTAGAAACACTCCGCCTTAGTCGGTTTTTTTGGTTTTCGGTTACTTTCGGTTTTGGCTTTTGGTCTCGGTGATCTGGTTTGTTTTCTTCTTCATCTTCTAAGTTTACTCAGTAGATTTCAGCACGTTTGAATATCTTTTCGGCCATTTTATTTCAGTCGCTTTCGCAAGTCTTTTAAGGAGGCTTTTTCTCATTGCTTAGTGAGTTTTCAGCGGGCTTGGTCTTGGGCGATTTCTTGATAGGCTTGTTCTAGTTCTTTTTCTGCTTCAGCTTTTTTACGAGCTAGTTTCTCTTCGATTGCTTCATTAACAAAACGACTAATTTGTCTTTCATTAGTGGTGGCTTGCCGGAGTTTGCTATAAGTTTTTTCTTGTAAGTAGACATTGACATTGCGACCAGACATAATATTATATTTTCACTGCTTGCTTAGCTAGGTAGCTAATGAAAATCCCCCCAGAACCCCCTATTTTCTCTCCAAAACCGCCGTTGTTGCCCTGCGGGGCTTCCAAATTCGGCTTAAACATTGAATATTTTGCCTTTTTCCGCACTTTTCCCTACCTTTTCGCCGGACAAATCAATTACTCAATATTTTATTTTAACTTGAACTGTTTTACAGTCCAAAAAAAACCTTCAGGCTCAAAAAAAACAAATCAAATTTTAGGAATCTTTCGTTAGCGAATTGGCATTTCGGCAATAATGACCTAGCACTTGTAAGCCAGTAGGGTTAATTCCGGCGATTCTTCCGGCTTGGGCCAAAGAACGAGGACGAATTTTTTTCAATTTTTCTTTTTCTTCTAAGGACAAATTAGGAATTTTGTTAATGAAGCAATCGAAGAGAAACTAGCTCGTAAAAAAGCTGAAGCAGAAAAAGAACTAGAACAAGCCTATCAAGAAATCGCCCAAGACCAAGCCCGCTGAAAACTCACTAAGCAATGAGAAAAAGCCTCCTTAAAAGACTTGCGAAAGCGACTGAAATAAAATGGCCG